GCTGCCTCTTCCAGGAAGCCTTCCCAGCTCTCCTCCTCCTCTGAAATCCTACTGACTTGGGATCTAGGCTATCAAGAGACTCTAAACCAGTGGTCTTCAGTGTTATCTGGAAACAATGTATAAAATATCAGAAAGTCCAGCTGTTGTGACTGAAGTGTTAGCATATGTCTGGGGTGTAGACCCCCATCTGTTCTTTGTGTGGGTCCCTGAGGGAGGGAGGGAAGGATCTGAGAACTACAACTTGGAACCACTAATCATGGCCACTACCATTGTTACAGAAAGTAGCAAGCAGATTCCATTCTACATAATTGCTCCTTCCTCTATTTATTGACTGGTTATTTTGTGCCAGGTACTGTGGAAACCACTTACAATTGGTTAGCTCATCTAGTCCCCATCTCAGGCCAGCAAGGTAGGTCTGGAACTGTCCACACTTTGCAGGTGAGTTCAATGTGACTGTGGGGTCTGTGTATATTGCGAGGACCTGAAGGAGATCCTGGAAAGATGCGCAACCAGGGACAAGATAACAAAAGTCCACACGTGTAGGCAAAGGGAGACCAGGGAACCCAGTGAAGCAGGAGAGAGACATGGTACCCCACATTTATGGGCTGTCTTACAGCAAAGGAGAGAGCAGGGTTGGGGGAACAGAGGCGCCCGGCTGGCTGACCAGCCAGGAGACTGTTTACCACAAGGAGACGAGCAATGGTGAGGCTGATCGCAGGCGGGATGGGCAGGGGCCGTGGCTTCGGAGAGTCAGGGATGGGACGACCTGAGAGACCGGAATGGAAGGGAAATAATGACTGGGAAAATCGGGGAGAGTCTTTGATGTGGGTGTCGGTTACACAGGGGTGCTCTGTTTGTGGAAATTCAGTAGGCTGTATACTCATGGTGTTTGCACCGCTGTGTATATATGTTCTATTTTAATTTAAAAGTAGAGTAGGGAACATGAGGGTAGACATTGAAGTCTCTCATCTGGGCCTCGGCCAGGACACCGAAGTGGTTCTCAGAATTTTTCTTATAACTTGAGAGCTGGTTTTCCTTACATAGTGCAGATTTGCTTTGTTTGGAAGAAGAGGAGGAAAAAGATCTGAGTTTTGAGCTGGACTTTTAAAGAATCAGAGGACTTGGCCAATAGTCATCACACTCACTGCCATTGATGAAGTTCTTATTATGTTTCACAGAGTGTAAGTCACACTTTATTTTTTAATATCTTAATGTTTCTAAAAGCAGGATGCATCATACAAAAAGTGACCTGTCGTAATTAATTAACTGGCAGTGTTTTCTTTCTTAGAAGTTCATAAAACATAATCCGGAGTCTTAGATTCAAGAAATAGTATATCCTGTGGCAGGCTCCCGGCTAAGTCCTGTGTACACACATTCCTCAGGTAATCCTCAGAACATCTTATCAGCTGTTGTCAGCTCTGTTTCCCAGAAGGTCACAGAACTGGTTAGGGGTGGACTGGGCATTTCAGCCTGTGCCACTTCAAACCTGGGGGATCCTAATACAAAGCAAGACTGAGTCTGGGACCTGGAGAGTGGTAGCCTCTCCTTCCGAGAGCCCAAGACAAACCAGGTCAACACCGAACACCTCGCCCAGCGCACCACCATACATGGCTACCTCTTGTCACCCGGCACCAGTACCCCTCTTGGCCTTAAACCCTGGGATTCTTTTCTCCCTCCCCAGGGGGCTCTGGGTCCAACGTCTGTAGTGACTTCCCTCCTCCACGAAGATGAGGGGGCTGGAATGAGATCTCAGGGAAAAGGGGGAAGAAATTCCAAGCCCAGCTGGTTTCTTTCACACAAAGCAGATTTGCTTAAATGGGAATTAGGATTAGTGGTGGATTTTGCCCCTCCTGGCAGACTGGTAATAAACTAATCTCCTCTCAGGCTGCAGGAAGGCAGGATTTCTCTGAAGACGGCAGACAGCTTCGGGCTCGGGAGTGCAGAGCCTGGAAAGTAATTTTGTTATTGACGGGCCTACCTGCACCACCTGACATGCAGCCCCCAGCTCCTTCCCCGTGTGGCTGCGGCCTTTAATTTCGTTAATCTGTGACATTCACCCAGGCTGCGTGGCTGACAGGCGTGCTTGACATTAATACATGTTCCTTGAGGTCCCCAGAGCTCATAAAAGCTCATTATCAGTTCTGAGCCTATAAATGTAGTTGCCGGCCCAGGTGGGCCCAAGTTCCTCAGAGATGCCCCCCGGGCAGTGGAGCAGCGGCCATCTGCAGAGCCACGAAATCAACTCCCTTTGTCCAGGGGACTTGTCCTCCCAGGCCAGTGGGAGGTGACCAGAAAAGCCCTTCAGTGGACAGAAGCTTGGATTCCAATTTGCATCCTGGAAGAGGGGCTCCTGCTCCCCTGCTGTGTGAGGGGAAGCACCCCAGCATTTTGGGAGGGCAGCCTGTCCGCGTCTGTTCAGAGGTGGAGCGTGCAGAGCCTCCGCCAAGCCGTTCACTTCCAGGCTTTGGAATTGCATGGGCGTTTCGACACAGGCCTGTGGGGGTCATTGCAAGGGCGGAATGGCAGGAGACAGAAATGCCCCCCATAGCCATGGTGAGGAGGAAAGTGAAGCAAGGTCCACACCTACTGCGGGGCGCTGTGCAGCTGTGAAAAAGGCGCAGGAGGTCTGTGTAGTCTCTCAGTCACGGGCAGTCGTGACACCTCTGATGCGTGGTGGTGGAGATCACCTGTGGGAAGAGCCCATTCGTATAAAGTCACACAGTCTGCCCGTGGGCTTATGTAGGCACATGTTCACACGTATGTGATTGCATAGGATGAGATCTAGAAGATCATGTGCAAAGTCTTTGCGTGGTTCTATCTGTTAAATAGGATGCACGGGTAAGGAAGAGCTTTCCAATTGTAGTTAATGAAAATTGAATGAGAAATATATGTGAATTATCCAGCTATGTAATATGAAAAATAGAGACATTTATTGAAGAAAATACAAGGTACAAGAAGCATTATACATAGGACAATGGCACCTGAGTCCCCTTCCAGGTAGACACCTTGGGACCTCACACAGTTTTCCCAGCGTCTCTTCCATTGTTCAAAACACTTTGTAAAATCCTTTGTTGGAATCGCCATCAACTACCTTGTATTTTCCTGAATCTCATCAATGGTCTGAAATCTCTTCCCTTTCAAAGGTGATTTTAGTTTTGGGGAAAGCCAGAAGTCTCAGGTCGCCAAATCGGAGCTGTAGCGGGGCTAAGTTCAATGTTCTCCGGTGTTCTGCTTGTTGCAGGACGTGGACCACTTTCAACACAGATGCTCGACCATCTGTCGAATGTTTGTGCCACACTTTTTTTGGTGCTGCACGCATTGCATTGTCCCTGAAAGCCTCTGAATCATCCACAGAGGAATGTTTAAGCTTAAAACAAAATGATGCAGATTCATTGCTCTGCTTGCTCAGTCATTTTGAATGTGACAGCCACATAGTACAACAAGCTCACTCAAAGGTGTCTACCACTCCCACTGACTAGTACAGTGAAGGCGTCATTGTTCACTCATGCGCAATCCAGTCCACTCTCCTTGGCTGTCAGGTTACGTCGATATGGTGCAAACTGTTCTCTTTATATTGACAATGGCTGGAGTTTTTCTGGACAAACCTCTTTTATATGTGTGTGTGTGTATACACGTATGTATATATACATAGGTGTGGGATATATATACACATATACATGTGCATATATTATATATATCTTATAAATAACATATAACATATATTTTCACTCTATACATATATATAATGAATTCCTTTGATTAGCCTTAGTCTGGCCCCCAATGCATGGGGTCTCCCAGGCTGACACCACCTGGGTGCACGTGGTGGAGAGAGAGGTACTGTCCTTCGGCCAAGCCCTGTTCCCCATCAGTTGGCAGGGAGCTCTGAGAACGCCTCCTGTGAGTGTGGTGCACTGATGCTGGATCAGTCCAGCAGACCTTGAACTCATTGCTCTCCTGCTTGCACCTCTCCCCTGGGGAGATGGCACTCGCACCAGGGGTGGCTTCCCGGGGACCTGAGTTCCAGTCCTGGTTCTGTCCCTTTTCAGCAGCATGACTCTGGACAAGGTATTTAATTCCTCCTGAGTTCACGGTCCTCATCCCCGAAGTGGGGATACTTTCTCATGGCACTGGGAAGGGTGTCAGGGTTATCACTGCAGTCATTTGAGGCAGCCTGAGACTTGGTCAGGGCTTCCACTGTGCAGCCCGCTCACCGTGGCAGAAGGAGTTGGGGCGGGGGGATCTGGGAACTTGGCCCTCCCCTGTCTGCTGTAAGTTTTGCTTTTGTTTCTCAGCCGTACATGTGAATAACCTGTTCCCCAGGGACTGGCCTAAGCCTTGGCAGGCAGGTACGTGGCAGGGACATGGTGAATTTGATCCTTTTCCTGTGACCTGGGGACTCAGAATGACAGAGAGGGAGCGGGGGAGAGGTTGGACTCTGGCCGTGGCATTCTGGGGCTGCGTTGTTTTTTTCACCACCAAAGATGCCTCCTCTTATTTCTTGTCTCTTCATGGATACCACCAGATCTTCAAAGTTTTGTTCTGCCTAAAGAGCCTGCGTTCATTAGGCAACAATTAATTCTCTTTCCCATTTTCAAAATTACTCAGAAAGCCTTTCTACCGCCTAAGGAAAATGGAGTCCCACGCCAAGTTGATAATATTCTAGCTCGAAGCAAAGAAACTGATGTGATGTTGTGATCAGCATGCTTGATGTCATCACATAGACATTGCACAGGCTCCTGGGCTGACTTTAGAAAACTAAAACTACGTCCTAATCCTTAGGCACTGGGGACGCCGTCCTGGGAGCGTGGGTGGGGCTGGGTGCTTAGTTGTGTCTTTTTGGCCATGGTGGCCCTGTCTGGGGACCGGACCTGCCGAGGTGGTAGGAAGGAGCAGACCCCTCAGGGAGTGGGTGCACGTCTAGACTGAGCTGGCCCCTGGAAACCCCACGCCCCACTAACCCATGCCTTCTTGATATTTATTTCTCTCTCTCCTCCCTTTAGAGTATCTCCTGAAGTCACCATCAGAAAGAGCCCTCAAGAGAATCTGGACACCACTGAAAGGAGAATATACCAGTTGAAAGAGGTATGATTTTGGCACTATGATGGAGTGGCATCTCAACTTGTTCACATAAGAGGGTCTGACCTCCTTCCTCTCCATTCCCTGCCCTCCCAATCCGCCCTTTCTGAGCAAGTGAACTCTCAGCTCTAGCTGGGAATGCAGGGCAGGTGAAGGGCGGCTTTACTCCTGTCCCCGCCCCCAGATGTTTATTCAGGGACAGAGAGCAACCGTGAGGTGCAGGGAGAGAAGGGCTGATCCTCTAGTGGGGTCTCACAAGGCTGGTCGCTCGCTGCCCCTTGGAGGCAGGTCAAGGTTGCTCTTGAGTCCATCCAGGAAGTGAGGGGTGAAGGGATTGGAGGGAGTGAGCCCTTGGGGGAAAACAGAGATCCTGGGGGCTCGTGGAGGGCCTGGCCTCTGTGAGGACCCCTCCCATGCCTCCCCTCCCCCATGGCCACCAGGGTTTTGGGATTGGGGGGAGGAACTACCTTCCTGAAGTGATTCATCCACCTTCTTGTCTCAAGGTGGTTTTGGATAAAGTTCACGTCCCATGATGCAATTAGCGAATGGAAGGGCCCTGGTCAACCTCTGGGGCTCTGGGAGCCTCCTGGGCTGCCCTCGATCCCAGGACGTGTGCAGGTCTGGAGGCCTCATGGAAGGCGCCTCAATGAGGAGCCAGGACATATGTGTCCTGGCCCAGCCCATGCCACCCTTGTGCCGCACGCGTCCTTGTCAGCCATTTTTCTCATTAGGCCTCGTTTTGTTATCTGTAAAGTGGGGCAGCGGTGATTTGAATCTGTTTGAACCCTCATGTCTTCTGTTTCCGAGGTTGCAAGACCCGGGCTGAACTAGAAGGGACAGGCACGGTGGGAGTGCGGGGAGGCGGAGGCGGGGGCGGAGTGGGGGCTCAGCGCAGGCGGTGGAGAGGACATGGAGAGCTCTGAGGCGGCCTGACTGCCAGTCTCGGGCAAAGGATGACTGAGACCCTCAGTGGAACAGCTGTGGGGTCTGAGGTGCCAGTGAAGCTGGGTGGAGGCCCAGCTAATCGGAAAAGGCAGATTAACCAGTGTCGGGGGCTTCTGCATGCCAGGCGCAGTGCGAAGCACACTCCCTGTGTCACCTTGTTTGGTCCTGTCAATGGCCACATGGCCTTGGCACTATTATCGACACCATCTTAGAAAGGAGAGAAGCCGGGCCTTAGAGACGTTCATGACTTACCCAAGGTCTCCCAGCAGTGAGTATCATGACTGAGATTTGCAGCCCTTGCCTGAACGACCCTACACTTGTAATGTATTTTGCTTGCAAGCTCTGTGACTTGAGGCTTAAATTAAAAAAAAAAAATTTTTTTTAAATCTAGAATTTTTTTTAAGCTTTGGGCTTTTTATCAAATATCGGTGAGTCTTGGCTGTCTGATCTCTAAAATGGGAGCATACCAGCGACCCGTGGGGTTGTTTCGGGGAGAAGATGAGACGCAGAAAGCACCCCACACTGTTCTTTCCTACACACCCCCTGCACCTGCCTTCCTGCCCCTAGGGCTGCTGAGAGGGTGGCTGGGGGTCGGGGGTGAACGCACCGGAAAGCACTGCACCAGCGGCCTGATTGCTCTTGCAGTCTTGGCTGCCCCTGGTGCCCGTGGTCGGGAAGCACTCGGCCACTGTGCTAGTCACCGATCTGAGAGCGCCCTGGTCTCCCAGCTCATCCTCTCACTTCCAGACTGTGCCACTGGCTGGCCAGGGTTTTTCCAGGTGGAATCTAAGGCAGGGAGGTCAGCTTCCAGAGACAGATGAAGCAGGGCCAGGCCAAGTGGATAGTGGCAGAGGAGTGGCAAGGCCTGGGACCTGCGGGGGCTTTCTCTCCTCCTCTATTGCACCTGTGCTCTGTAGTTCCTGCACTCGGCCACTGGCCAGCCCGGGCCATAATCTTAATTATAAGCCTCCTGGCAGTTGCCACACTGATCCCCACAGGAAGCTATTGCCTTATCACAGAGCCTGGATCTCGCATAGTTTTCGTAATCAGGAGAAAGCTCTGAAGTGAGTCGGAAAAAGCTTAACTTCCCCAGGACCTTTCTGCTATGGATGTTTCTCTAATCAGGAAGCCATGAGCCTGCGTGAACAAAGGGAAAGAATCTCTTTAAGGACAGAAAAAAGAAGCAAGTGTGCTGTTGTTCCTGGGTTACCTTTAGGAGGGTTGCCGAGGGACCAAAGTGATTTAGCCTTGTCCCTCTTGTTAGCCAGGAAGCAGATCAATGTCGTAGAGTCACAGGAAAAAAAAAGCAAAGACGACCATATGGCCACAGGCAGGCAGGCAGCACAGTTGTGGGAACCGGTGGCTGGGGTTTGGCAGCCAGACTGGTGAGGCCGAGTCCCAGCTCTGCCTTCCCAGTAGCTGTTTGACTCTCTGTCAGGTGCATGATTTCATCTCTCAGAGCCTCAGTTTTTGACAGCAGAATGTACCTCACTGGGTGGCTGTGAGGGCGAGGGAAAGCCAGCAGGCATATCTGTTTGCTTTGAATGATGGCAGTCTCCTGGAATAATGTGGCCTCCCAAGGTGACCCCCTTGAAGAGGCCCAGGCTCTTGAGATGTGAGAACTGGGTGTTTGTGAGTAAACAGTGGGGTTACCTTGGAGACACATACCTCCTTCCATGCCTGGTCTACGAAAGGCTGAGGTTGGTGCCTGGGTTGTGTCAGCTCTCTGTCCTGACACCCTTGGGGTGTGGGGCCACCTTGGGTATGAACAGTTCTTCCTGAGCTTTTACCCCATGGTTTGCACTTGACCGTGATGATCTTTACTGGATCCTCTCTGTAGACAATAGCTGATCTTCTCCACAACTCAAGAGGCAGGTATTCATAACATTTTTATGGGTAAAGACAACTGGGATTCAGAGAAGTTATAAATTACTCTAGGCTTCACCACTAAGAAAGAGCAAGTTTAGGACACAAACACAGGGCTGCTGCCCTAACGATGGTGGTGTTTGCCATAGCACCTTACAGCGCGCATAGTGCTATGGAGGCACCCTGTGTGCACCCAGAGTTGCAGCCCACAGCACAACAGTGGCTTCCTATGGTGCCAATGACAGCACCTGCACTGTGGTTCCCCATGATGTCCATGAGGCACCCATAGGCTCAACATCACCCCATGGCACTCATGGTAGTGCCCCAAGTGTCCACAGATATCCTGCATGCCCACAGTGACATTTCACAGTGCCCATGGCGGCACTCTTCCCATGTTCTCCAGCCAGCCTTGCATGGACTTTGGAGCCCAGGCAGAAAGGTAAGTCCGCAGTATCTTTATCTCCCAGCCAGCCTCTGCAACAGGCTGAGCCAGGAAGTGTAGGCAATATCTAGGAAGCATTGGGATCTTCCTCCAGTTGAGATCTGAACAGCGGGATCTTATTTTAGGTCACTGATCCAGTTCGGGTTAATTTTTCTAGTATATGGTGTGAGGTAGGGGTCCAGCTTTTTTTTTTCCTTTGGCATGTGGTTATCCAGTTGTCTCAGCGCCATTTGTTGAAGGGACTATTCCTTCCCCCATTGACTAGTCTTGGCGCCCTTGTTGAAAATCAGTTGGCCATGGGAATACAGGTTTGTTTCTGGATTCCCAATTCCATTCCATCGGTCAATAATAAATCTTTATACCAGGACCATGTTGTGTAATGTTTGGAGGAACATTAGTATATTTTAAAGGTCCCCAGGTGATTCCAAAGTTGAGCACTAGAGATTTTTAGAGGAGGATGAGTGACTCTTAGGGTGGCCAGTTAAGAGCCTGCTGGATTGACCCAGGGCAGGGCAGGTGGAGGAGATGCAGCCCTGAAGCAAAGCTGCAATCATGATGGTGATGCCATTATGGAGATGAGAGAGGTGAGTGAGGGAGCTGTCCTGATCCTCCCTGATTCCAGGAAGACCTTGGGGATGCCAAAGGTGAGAACAGAGGCCAGTGGTCCAAGTCAGCTTGATTAAACTCCTACCCACACCCAGTATGGTTTGAAGGAAGACCTGGGTCCCAGTCATAGCCCTGCTTCAGTGTGTGACCTGGGCAGATTGCTCCACCTCCCTTAGCACCCTCATTGTCTCTGTAAGGTGGATCAGTGTTCTCTGCTGCTCGTGCAAAAGGTTGGGTGAGGGTCAAATGGGTCAGCTCTACAAAGGCTGAAGGGCTCAAAGGCAACTGAATACCTAGTAGACTCCCCAGCCCAAAGTTCTTGCTAGGTGGTTGTCAGTACCAGCCTAACCGCCTCCTGGGACATGGGGCTCATGGCCTCCCTTGCAGCCTGCGCCACCTTGGGCTGGCTTGAGCTGGCTTGGGCAGGCTCTGCTAGGTCAGGGTGTCTCCTTGTGTTGAACTGACATCTATTTTCTTGTACCCTCCATCTTCTTGCCCCAAATCTGCCATGTGGGGCTGCATCACCCCTTTTCTTCCAGGCTGTTCTCCACGCTCTCCACTCTGCACCTTCCCATCTGCTGGCTGAGAGGTGCGGTCGCCCCCATCCCCCTCTGAGGATGCAGGAGGGAGAGCATAGCTTTGGCATTCAATGAATGTCAGGGCTTTTTGTAGCTAGTTATGAGCCTGGGTGATCACTCAGTTTACTATCCCATTAGGTGACGAGGGTCCTGGTAATTGTAGGTTCGTGGTCAAGACTGAGATGGTGGATGTCAGGCGTGTTGTCTACTGCCTGGGAAGGAGTCAACGTTCCAGAAAATGGTGGATACAATTGCTGTTGTCATCTGAACATCACCCTTCAATTTTCTCTGATTCTGACTGGCAGGGCACAAGCCCTGAGAGGAAGCCCAGGAAGGGGCCGTGGCCCCAGGCCCCATCTGCCTTCCTGGCTTTCCCCTCTCTCTGTCGGGGACATGTATGCCAGCGGACAGGATGACAGGTCCTCACTACCCTGGTTTCCTGCTCACTCAGCCCAACTTCTGCCAGAACATTCTGGCCTCAGGCCAGATGCACGTCCACATGTGACTCATGACAGCTCCCTGGTGCTTTTCTCCCTTCTTTGATACTTTCCATCCCCAAGCTTCTCCTT